ACTGTGCACTGATAACAAGCTGAGTGGTCTTTAGCCCGGAGGACACAGCGTCCATGATTTCCAAAAAAATTTCAAATTTTGATTTGTCGGACCACAGGACACTTTTCCTCTTCGCCTCAGGAGATGATGAAAAGCACAAGTTCTATGCTATTTTACGTTGAGAACGTTATTCTTGAATTGTTGCACTATTTGATCGTGCAGTCTTTCACAGAGTAGTGAACCCCTCCTCATCTTTACTTCTGAAAGCCTCTCTGAGATGCTTTTTTTTTTTACCCAATCATGTTACAGACCTGTTGCCAATTAACAGGTTTTATCATTACACAACTTTACCAGCCTTTTGTTGCTTTTTTTGGAACATGTTGTTGGCATCAAATTAAAAACAGGCAAATATTTTTCAAAAAACAATAAAATTTCTCTGTTTAAACATTTGATATGTTGTCTTAGTACTAGTTTCAATGAAATATAGGGTTTAAATGATTTGCACATCACTGCATTTTGTTTTTATTTACTTTTTACACAGCATCCCAACCTTTTTGGAAATGGGGTTGTATTTTTAGAATCCATTCATGGTGGAGAGGTGCATGGAGGTGTTGAGCGATGAAATAGTACTTTGTGGTAAATCTGAAAAACTATATTACCATTATAAACAGAGTTGTCGACATGGTGACCCCTGGTTCCTATCACCACCAAAGAAATCTGTCAGTAAGTTTCTATGCAGTTAACAATTTTATATCAAACCACTATAAACAACTTTGTTTACATGATGCAGGGGTTTTGAAATATTGGTGGAATTCGTTTTTAAAGGTCTTCAGTGGCTGTTGATGAGCTCATGGGTGCAGCATTCTTTAAGATTTATTTTTTACTGTGCTCTTCTTTTTAAGCATTGCAGTAGAAACATCTTAATGAGTGCATGTATACTGCTAATGGCTTTTTGTTTGCTATTTAGGACTTGAAAGGACTGGAAGTGAAAGTGCTATGTTGTCACTTAACAAAGATACAGTTGTGAAAAATTAGGACACCCCATGAAAACCTTTGCCTTTTTATTAACCTATTTAAACAGATGGACATTTGACCTTCATTTTAACAATGTTGAGAGATGAAGGGAATATAACTAAACAAATAAAACTGACAAAATGTCTTTGAAAAATAATTTGTAAAATGTAATTTTAACAGAAATGCAATTTTCTTGTAAGGAAAAAGTTAGGACACCCCCACATTTATTACTACTTAAAATGCCTACAATTAAAATCATGTGTACCACATTAGCTGCACATGATTAGGACATTGTTAGAGAGGATTTTTGAGGATTCTTGTCTTATTTAAACCTGAAGACATGTCTTTGGATTGTTGAAGTGATTGGTATCACCATGCTGAGATCCAAAGAGCTCTCTGAGGCCTTCAGAAAGAAAGTTGTGGTAGCAGATGAGTCTCCAAAGGGATTTAAAAAGATTTCAAAACAATTTCAGCCCAAGAGCGGACCCCAAGATGCATAAAGAAGTCGCCTATCTCTTGCCACAGTTTATGTCAAAGTACATGCATCTACCATCAGAAAGAGAATGCACAAGTTTGATTTTTGTGGAGGGTGTGCCAGAAGGAAACACTTGCTGTCATAAAAACCATCAGAGCAGGACTAAAGTTTGCCAGAAAACACCAGGACAAAGCCCAGGACTTCTGGAACAATGTGCTTTGGATAGATGAATCCAAAGTTGAATTATTTGGGTACAGCAACAGATGACATGTTTGGGGCAAACCAAACAGCATTTGAGCACAAGAACCTTCACAGCTGTGAAGCATGGAGGTAGAAATGTCATGGTTTGTAAGCAGCGCCTGGCAAGCTCTCCATTACAGAGTCCAATATAAATTCTTTATTGTGTTAGAGCCCATGTGTACAACGCAAGGCCAGTGGTCCAAGTCAGGACCATGACACAGTCCTATTCGGCCCACAAAATTATTTTAATTTTCTATTATTAGTAGCCCGTTTCACCCTAAGATGCACTACAGTCCCCAGCATGCACTGCAGCATAGTGTGCATTCTGACCTCCAAACAGTGGCCCGTACAGGTCATGGCAAAATGTTAGGTAAAATAATATAAAAACACAGCAACCCACGTATTTATTTGAGAATTTTTAATACGGCCCTTTTAGTGGTTGAGTTTGACACCCCTGTATTAGAGAGTGCTTGAGGAAAATGTGAGACTATCTGTTCAAAAACTGAAGCTAAAGCAGAGGTGGACCATGTAACATGACAGTGACCCAAAACATTCCAGTAAATCCACTAAGGAATGGCTCAGAAGAAAGAAATGGACAGTTCTGGAGTGGCGTAGACAAAGCAAGAAACTTAAATTTACATGTTGTGGGGTGATTTGAAACAGGCTGTACATGCAAGAAATCCCTCAAACATCACACAGCTGAAACAGTTCTGCATGGAGGAGTTGGAAAAACTTTCTCAAGAGGTTTTCCCTCTTATATTAGCCAAAGGGGAAAAATCCCAGCTATTAGGGCATAGTTTGTCCTAACCTTTTCCTCATGAATTTGCATCTTTTACATTTTTTTTTGTTTCATTGTTTTTGCAAAGGTGTTGTAATTACATCAGCTTTAACTGTAGATATTGTTTGAAAGAAGATCAAATATTATTATGCCTATATTTCATAACAAAGAACTAAATATTTAATAGGGTGTCTTAATTTTTTCACTTGACTGTATGCGTACTTAAATAAAAGAGTATTGCTTTTTATGCAGTTTTTCTTTTTGTGATGATTACAGCTCTTACCGTATAGTTTCTGAATGGAACATGGTATCATATTCATTTATTTATTTATTTTTTTTTGGACAACTTTTCACATTGTTTATATACTGGCACCATGTTCAGAGTGTGTAGATATTATATGATGGGCCTTCCCAGAAGGAATCTGAGCAGTAGGGGGCAGCTCAGGCTCCAGCATGCGAGTGCCAGAAGACATTTGCCAAGACATCTGTCACTTTTATTAAACGCACTAGGGACAGATTACATCACGGAGCCTTGTACAGGTGTACATACGGTCAGTCTCATATGAACTGTACGACTCCATTCATACACACGGCCATTCAGCACATAAACAGGAAACTGCCCTCTCATACAAGCACAAACAAAACTCCTACAAAGCTGATAATACACTGTTTTTGCACTAAAGCACAGGTTGTGAACTAGCTGATCTGCATTGCTCTCACTAGGCTGTAAAAACTGGAGCATCAGCAAGGTCACTGAGGTTACTGGGTGCAGGTCTATTTATGTGTTCTGGCCTCCTTTCAGTGCATGTATTTGCTTAAAGCAATATGAAACCCACTGTTATCAATAACTCACTCTTCACAGCTATCTGCCCTCCAGCTATTCTACCCTCTACCGTGTTGAGAGGTTATAGTAAAATACTTGCAGTTCTCAGTAAAATTCTGCATCATGAATCATTTTGTGTCTGTCTCTCTCTCTCACACACACACAAAATGTAAAGGGCATTAGGCATTTTCAAATTATGTCAAAGACTGAAAAATGACAAAAATGGAGATATGAGGTTTTGTCCCGACAGCAACGATATAGTCATATGCAAAAGTTTAAACACCCTGTTACTTTTTACATTTTGTTGATTTTCTTGGTAAAAAATAAACTCAACACATTCTCTGCAGGGAACAAACTTAAATATGGCATCTTTCTGTTAATTTTATTGCACAATTTCTATTTATTTGCATTGTGGAATAAAACAAAACATCAGATCTGAAAATGAAAAATCTGAAAAGTGCAGTTTTGTTAAATTTAGCAAATAAGCAGTAACTGTGCATTAGAATTTGTGTTCTTCACAGAGGATGTGTACTTATAAACAAACAAAACATGTACCAAAGGGACTCAAACTTTTACATATGACTGTGGAGTCCAAGGAAACGATGCAGGCTTGGTCCATGTGATCCATTTCCCCAAAGCATTTAATATCAATCCATGTAAAGAAAAAACTAAAAATGGTTATGATTTCACAAAATGCACACCTGTTACCCAAAATGTAGTCCATCAGCCAGGTCATGTTTGGTGTCTGAAGATTGCTTCTGAAGTTTTGGAGCTATGAGGCTAATGTCGTGCAAGTAATGTAGTAATAAGTCTAATTTAAGATTATTTAACAGCTGGACATAGCTTGAGGGAACTGGGTGATAATTTATGAATGCAGGTTGTGCAATGCTAACCGATGGTTATAAGCATCTGTAAATCACATTAGCCTAACAGCTCCAGTGCAAACCTAAAGAAGCTTAATCACTCATGCAGGTTTGGCCTACGCGACCCGTTTGTATGGGTGTTTTAATGTTTATTATGAAACCCGTCATCCATACAAGGATAAACTAAATGGACTGAAGTTTTTTCCATAATGTTCTGTACCTTTCCGGATGGAGGCGGTATCATGTTGGGGACTGACAGAAGAAAACAACGCCAGGAAAATGACTAAAAATAGCCTGAAATGGGGGTTTATGTACTCACTGTGATGTCCTTTGTTAATGCACTCATGAAAGGTGGAGTAAATGAACAAAATCTGATTGGATGTTGTGAAATACTCATCTAAATTCTGTATTTTTGCACCACATTATTAAAAACCACTGTGCTATTCATGAAATAAGCATTCACTGTTATGTTGCTTAGTAACCAGAACCTTGTGTTAGTGAACTGCATTGCTTGTGAGAACTGTTTATTGCAGTTATTATGATTAATTATATCTGAAATTGTTTATTATTGAACATTGGTATATTTTATAGTATTATATTTTGTCACCACTTTATAAACACAGTAAATCACTTGGCTGTGTGAATTTTATTAATTTTTTTTTGTTAAATTGTTGCATAATTCAGTTGTGGAGATGTAAACAAAGTCATTCAGCGTGGTTTGATGTGAAATGGTTAATGGTAGAGAAATTCACAGACTCAGATGTCTTTACAGTGGTGGTGATAGGAACCAGGGGTCACGATGTCTACAACATAAATATAGCCATTCTATTTACTATCCAAAACCACCAGTGAACCTCCTGTCTTAGTTTTATATGTAATGTTGATAATACTGGTAAATTTAAAAAAGAAAAAAAGGTAAAATTGGGTTTTCTATGGGTCATATCCTTCCTAATATTCTGCATGGGCCTCTCCACTGTGAATGGCTTCAAAAAATAGTTTTAGGCCAAAACTATATCATAAAACAATCTTTCAGGCATCAGGTAACATATACATAAACCATTTTATGTATCAACTTTGTGTGAGATTACTTTTAAAGGCATTGACCTCTTCAGATGTCAGCGAACGAACACCACTGTGAATATTTCTTACTCGGTAGGTTTCTGACCATTCTGAATGGTGTTGTTCTGATTCGTTGATTCTGCAGAAAGTTCTGGAATTTCTCTTTCCCCTTGGCAAAACTTATAGCTTATAGCTTTAATAAGCTTTCAGTGGCATATAGTGTCCACATGGGTTGAGTAAGGGCTCTTAGTTCTGGCAGACAGTGGTGCTATCCCCCAGCAAGCCTGAACCTCATCTGACCACTACGATGACAGCAGCTATCTGTCAAAACTCATCTTACACTCAGTCATGCTCTCACTGCATGAACAGGTCTGCAAGGACATCTTCATGCCCTGTAGAGCGCACAGTGAGCACAACCAGCACGATAAAAAGCGGTTTGGCCCACATGTTTAGAAAATAACCACGCCTTATTAAATTATTGCTGTGATGGCAACAGTGCCTGTCTTGTCAGCCTAGAATAGTTTCCTGTTCTGTGTCCAGTTTGAGCATCAAAGATGATAAGCTATTTTAATAGGCTTGCATGCATAAGCACATGGAAAAGCAAGTTGTACTTGTAAAGTTCCTGTTTCTGTATTTAATTACGTTCAGCACTGAAAAAATCTCAGGTCTCATCTCCATTAGAGGCTTGGCGACAGCAGTACACTTGATAATGAGAGTGTAACTTAAATGACAGCCTCTCCAGTTACTGTTGCTGGTCAATGCAGTGCATCGCGTCTGTTAAAGTAAACTGGTGACTGGCGTCTTCTAACATCATCTTCCCAGCACAGCAGCCCTTCATCATATGTGTAAAACCTTACTAAACATTATTAATGCACAATGAATATAATGTGACAATTGTTATAAAAGTGCTTATGTGTCTTTATATTCATTATAGGACTGTCTTGCATTTAAATGCAGTCAGTCGAATAATGGATATGATATTATTTTAGGTTTGCCACAGTCTTATAGGAATTACAATCCTTAACAGATTACAGGGCAGCTGGCTTTACCAACAGCCAACCCCTCGATCAAATCCTTTGGTGTTTTCTATATTCGTACTTTGGTCCAAGCCTGGTCTTCCTGTGAGTCTGTGCTGCCCTCTGCTGGTGATATACAGTAGGAGCAATGTTTCCAGTAGAAGGACTCCAGTGACTGGACTCAAGCAGGAAGGATTAGTCAAGTTCTGTGTAGCGGTTGATGTTTTCCAGATCAGATTTCAGCTCTTGGAATTTCGGCCGGTCATCTGGCACTTCACTCCAGCAGGACAGCATAATGTCATAAACGAGGCGAGGGCATTTAGGGGGGGACGGCATCCTGTAGCCGTAATGGGTGATCTGATGCACCACCTCACTTGAACTGAAACCTATAACACGACAAAGTTAATTAAGCAAAAATATCCAACTTAGCTCATTTAAATTATTTCGTTTTTATTTTTATGTTTAAAAAATGACATACAGGCCCATTTGTTTTGCTCCAGAGCACCGTGCTGTGATTAGATCCACACTCTGATCAATTTTACATCTGTTGCAAAGTAGGCTATTTTACAACCTGCTTTTAAATGCTAGACATAACTAAAAGTGCAACATAGTCTACCTGGATATGGAACTCCACCATAGGTAATAGTCTCATACAGGAAAATGCCAAATGACCAGACGTCGGATTTATGAGAGAACCGGCCGTGGGTGATGGCTTCAGGAGCCGTCCACTTGTAGGGAATCTTCTTTTCCTCTGAAACATAGATTGGTTCCTACAGGAGAAAGGCCTACTGTGAACATGATTTACTCAAACACAGTGGACTAGCAGTAACTCTTCTAACTCTTCTGAATGTTCTCCTACGCTTTAATGCACTTTAAAGTAATTCAAGGACAGTGGTGACAAAAGTCTTTTAGATATAAACTATATAATGTTAGTAAATAAAAATATTGCTGCTTTCGGAAGAAAACCTTGTGTCTTCAAAATGATACATTTACAGGAAAAAGAAAAAAAACTACTTTTAATGTAAGTCAATGGAACCAGATGTTTTTCCAAGTCATTTTGGGCTGTTTCTTTTGGTCCATTCTTCATGAAATTTACACACAATGTAAAGAACAACAGGCATTTTCAAAATATGTCAAAAACTGAAATGACAAAAATACAAGGTTTTCCTCCGACAACAGTGATATTTACACAGAGTAGTACTTAATTGTCTGAAATAAAAAAAATATTGAAATGAGTGGAAAGTGTTATGCTGTACTGTAATACAGTCAGCTTCAAAATGAATGGCAACCTTGGCAAAGATGGGTAAAAAAAAACAAAAAAAACATTTCATGAAAAAATTTAAGAATCTGATACAGTATATAAACACTCAAAGATCTGAAAATGTACCACTCACTTTCCAGTCCATAAAGGCCACATAAGGAACCTACACTGCTTGTTTCGAATTCAGTGTTTTTGTGATGTCATAAGAACCAAAAATGCTTAAAAATAAGAATGAAATTTGTCTTTAAACATTACATAAAATTAATACAAGTCCTGCGGCAAAGCCACACAAAGTAGCTTCCACAATTTTTTTGCTCATCTCAAAAAAAATAATATAAACGTAAAATTGTAAAAAAGCGTATGCAGTAAAAACTGCATCGCAGAAACATCATACTTTTTTGCCACTATTCTGCCTGATTTCTGCTATAAAACACACTTATATTATCCTAATCTGTTGATATGTTTGATATTGCAGCAGTACTGCAGTCTGTCTTGAAATTGCCCAAAAATGAAAATTTGAAGCAAAAATTAGTTTTGTTTTTTTTTTATTTTGGGCCAAATGCTTTCTAGTGATAAATGGGTGGGCTTGATGTGGAAAAGGCTGACAGTTCTGTGCTAAAATATGGAATCTTTGGTTTTACAGTCCAGTTTCTAGACTCCAATCCCTGCATGACAGATACAGACTTTGTAGAAAATTTACAATCACAATGCTGAGTGAACTTGCCTTGATGACTCGTGCTAAGCCGAAGTCTCCCACCTTGCAGATATATCCCTCACCAACGAGCACATTCCGGGCCGCTAGGTCCCTGTGAATACTGTTGTGCGCCTCTAGATACGCCATCCCATCAGCCACCTGGGCCGCCATGTCAATCAAATTCACCTGGTCTAAAGTCCCGCCCTCTTTACCTGATAAAGATAAGCACAGCAGAGACTAACAGCGAGGCAAGGAGGCAGGCAGACTGACAAATAAATTACTTATGTTTAATTACTGAATATAACCAGATAAGTCTGTAGAAACTGTGTTTCATGAAATAATATTACAGCTTCTTTGAGTGAAAATGAGCTCACAGTGCTGATAGATGGATAAAGTGACCATTCAAAACCCTTGAGCTTTATTATTTAGTGATTTTATGGAATACAAATGCAAACTGGTCAAGTTACACTGTACAAAAAGTCTCATCAGATCAACCTACAAAATGACTTCATGTAGTAAAAAGCAATTAAACTCATTTTATTCAACTCAAAAAATGACATTGATTCAAAGAATTGTTCATTCAAAGTATTTATTTTGGCTGAACAAACCTGGTTAATTTACACATTAAGTCATTTTTATGTTGATCTGATGAGCCATTTTTTACAGTGTATTTTTAAAGGAATAGTTAAGTGAAAAATATAATTAACATGAGTTTTCACTTATCTTAAATGCAGTTTGATCAGCCAAGACATGTTTGGTGTGAAAATTTTGCTTCTTTAATTAAGAACTGGAGCTGCTAGGCAAACAATGCCAGCAAACACTGGAAGTCAGTAGTCACCCAAAACCACTTTCACAAATTCATGCCAAAATCTTCATATATTTGCTTCAAACTATGTTGATAAGCAACATAAATTTGTTTTAAAAAAGTTTTAGTAAAGTAACATAGATAGACCTTATTTACAAATTTGAGCCAACACTGAAACTACATTATCATCCATATAATGTCGTGCTTTCCGGTGCTATTGTGCCTTCAAACTCTGGGAGGGCGCAGGGGTGTAACGTTGTAAAACGTTACTAAACAGGTACGTAGCACACTAATACCTAAGGTTTACTTAGCTTCAAGTAGAAGAGTTAGAAGTTGCAGTGACGATGATCCTATGAAAATGAAGTGATGTGTTCCATTTTTTTTTCCAGAACAAAGAAATCAACCTTTGGTTAATTTGTTTTCCTAACTATGTCCCTCTTACCCTCTTTTCCTAAGCTGAGCGGCTGCCTAAGAGGGTCTGACCTCAGATGCGGCCGGCGCACTGCACAGTGGTGTTAAACTGTATCTACTTATGCTGTTTTGTGTCTGTGCTGTTATCCGGTATCGACCAGAGGAGGATGGGTTCCCCTATTTGAGTCTGGTTCCTCTCAAGGTTTCTTCCTCCTGTTGAGGGACTTTTTCCTTGCCACTGTCACCAAGGCTTGCTCACTGGGGGGACCCGGATTCTTTGTAAAGCTGCTTTGTGACAACATCTGTTGTAAAAGGCGCTATATAAATAAATTTGACTTGACTTGACTTGACGTGTAGTCTAGTAGGTTATGTTACCACCAATTTCCTACTGATGTGGACACATGCAAATTGTGGCTTTTGTCAATGAAGTGCAAACTAGCAAGAGAGGCATTCAGTAAAGCTGAGCAAAATCTCTGCTTGTAATCATTTTTCACCTGATGATTTAGTCTCCAGCAGGATATTCTAAAATCTACAGCTGTACCACTTTTTTTTATAAAAAAGAAGTGAATCCAAGGTAAGTACGCCCTGAATTAAGACCTAGATGTGGTTGAGCGAGTTGAGACAAGTTTTGGGGATGTATTTACAGAAACGGTTTTGGGTGACTATTAACTTCCAGTGTTTGCTAGCAACATTATCCTAGCAGCTCCAGTTCTAAATTAAAGAAGTAAAATCTGGACCCCAATCATGTCTTGGCTAATCGACTGTATTTGGGGTAAGTGGAAAGTCAGGTAAACCAGATTTTTTACCAAACTGTTCCTTTAAGTTCAAGCTCTGTCCATTTAAGAGGTTATAAAGAGCAAAAAAAAAAATAAAATTGATGTAAAATATGGACAAAATTTGAGATGTCATCTAACTAGTCTTTTTAGCTCTGTGACATACATTTTTTGTCAGCGCGACAGTATATGGCAGAAACCAAACGAACAGGTCAGTTTAATAATAGTTTTTGGCGCGGTCACAGGCAGAGCGGGGTGTGAATGATGACTTACTGCGGAGGAAGTCCAGCAGGTTGCCCTTCTCCATTAGCTCAGTGATGATGTAATACGGGGAGGAGGAAGTGCAAATGGCGAAAAGCGAGATTAGGTGCCGGTGACGCAATCTTTTCAGAACCTGAACCTCCATATGAAACTCGCGCTGGTTCAAAGACGCTGAGAGGCAGAGATTAAAATAGCAAAGATGAATAAAAAAACAATTGAACAGCTTTTGAAAGAACGCAGCGTTCATCGCTTAATGTGAAAGAGAGCAGGCAAGAGATTGAAAAAGAAGCATACGATATATGAGACATCAGTCTGTGTATAACTCCCATTTTATGTTCCTAAGCATTTAAAAAATGCAAAGTTGGACACAGTGAAACCAACCCAAACCTAATGCAGATGAGCTGATAGGAAGGTTTGCTAAAGAACGATTTAGTGCATAAAAACCATCTTGAAGGACAAGTGAGACGACATTCTTTCACTATCAGCTGAGGCTTCTTCTGCCTATCATATTTTTAGCTTAAAAATGACTGGAACTTTTTTTTAAGCCATTGCTCATAACAGGAAAACATCATTTTCATATTTAAAGCTCTTCTCTAAGCACAGAACGATAACAGTGAGCTGAGGGATGCAGGAGTGTCGTCGCTTTAGCCTTTAAATAAATGAATGGTGTCCTTTAATGTATAAACAACCTATGAAGTCAACATATGTCTCTTTATTCAGCTTGCATGCAAACCTCAGAGAGTATATGCAGTTAGTTTCATAAATATTGGCACCCTTGATAAAGATGGTTAAAAATGGTCATGAAAAAGTGTTTGTGGTTAATTAGCCCAATCTCTCCTTTTATTTGAAGTAAATTTAACCCGAAAAACTCCTTTTAAAGAAAGCCACATCACAATTATTGGACACACCCAGAAATCCCTCTAATCAAAATGTAGCTGAGGCATGTTCACATTTATATTTCCCTTTTTTTTAATATACTGGAGTGTTCAGGAACTCCTCAACAGCCATCCTTCACTTCCTTTTTCTCTTCCACTGGGTTATGAATATAAGATGGCACAAAGGCCAGATCCCCTTAGTCATTCATCAACATAGGGAAGATTAGATGGTATGCAAATTAAATGAGACTAAAGTGATTTGATCTTTATAAATCAATCATAAAGGCGATTGCTACACACAGAAAATACCCAAATCCACTGTTAGGATAATAATTGAGAAATTTAAAACAACTGGAGCTGAAGTGAACCTGCCTGGAGGAGGATGCATGTTTGTTTTACTCCTATGCACAGGGAGGAGGATGGTTAAGACAGGCAAATATTTCTCTAAGGTTCACTACAATAAGATGCCACCTCCTTGCTTACAAACTGTTTGGAAGGCAGGCCAGAAGAAAGCCTTTTCTTTAATCTAACCAAAAAACATAAGTGCCTGGAGTTCAATAGACACTACTGGAACTTAGACTGACATTAAGTTCTTTTGTGAGATGAGACAAAAAGGGGTTTTTGGCAACAAACACCTGACGTGGTGTAAATAAAAAGATGGTTTTACAGAAAAAGCACCATCCACACCGTTAAGTATGTTAAGTATGTTAAGTATAATGTTTTGGGGCTATTTTTCTTCCAAAGACCGTTGGAAGTATATTAGGATACATGGTATCACAGAGCCCATGATCTGTCAGGAGACTTTTAGATAAAAGTTTCTGGCATAAAGCTAAAACTGGGAACTGGGTTGTGATTGGATTTTCCACCATGATCATGATTCAATTCCACACAAAACGATTCAGTGAACACAGAATCAAGCTTTTAAAATTTGAAGCAGGGGGATGGGGCATGTGACTGAGCTGAAGAGGAGAGTCCAAAAGACAGGAGCTAAGGCCCTGGAGGATATGAAGTGATTCTACATTGAAGAGCCGTCAATATACACTTTTTCATAAGTTTTTTTTTTCCTTTTTTTTTTTATTAGACTAACTTACTTCACAATTAAAGTTTGAATTGTTTTCCTATTTTCAGTGTGAGATTGATCTAATTACCCACAAAGACATTTTTCACAACCTTTTCACCCATCGTTACCTAGGGTGCCAAAATTTCTACAACTGACTTTATGTAATTAAAGGACCTAAGAGTATCTCTGTGGTGTTTACCAGCTGTGGATCCAAGGTGTGTGTGTGCGTGGATGGAACAGGATGGATGCTTACCATTGGTTTTGAGAATTTTAATAGCTACGTTGATGCGGTTCTTCCACTTGCCGCGATGAACGTCGGCGAAGTAGCCGCTGCCCAGCTGCTCCTCCAAAGTAAAGTCCTCTTTAGGGAGCTCCCACTCGTCCACTGTGGTGTGAGAGAGGTCCTGAGGCTGTGGCTCTCTCTGAGGACGAAGAGTGTTAGATAAAATTCACTTTCAGGAAACTGTAGCTCCGCTAGGCAGGAGCTAAACTATTTTTATACTGATGGCTGAGGCTGAGTTTGCCGAATGCCAGGTGAACGTTACCTGCCTGACTGCTTTGCACCAACTGTATAGTTTGGTGGAGGAGAGATAATGCTATGGGGTTGTTTTTCAGGGGTTGGCCTAGACCCCTTAGTTCCAGTGAAGGGAAATGTTAATGCTTCAGCAGACCAAGACATTTTGGACAATCATATGCTTCCAACTTTGTGTGGAAAACAGTTTGGGGTAGAACTTTTTCTTCGGGGTAGAACTTCTTATGAGATAATTAGGCTCTATTATTCTTATGAGATAATTAGGCCTGCAGTATAGTTGTAAAGTGCTTGTCATCTTATCGTGTACAGCATGTTTTTTATAATACAATATATGGACAAAAGTATTGGGACACACCTCAGTTTGCAAAATGATTCACTCCTAGATATTCTACAATCATCTGTGAGTGGTATTATTGAAAAGGGGAAGCGTTTAGGAACCACAGCAACTCAGCTACGTAAAGTTACAGAACAGGTCATAGTGTGCTGAGACACATTGTGCAGTAAAAGTTGCCAAAGCTCTGCTGACTCAATAACTGCAGAGTTTCAGACCTCCTTTGGCATCAACATCAGCAAAAAAACTGTGCACCGGGAAGTTCATGGCATGAGTTTAAATGGCTGAGCAACTGCATGCAAGCCTTACATCACCAAGCACAATGCCAAGTGTTGGATGGAGTGGTGTAAAGCACCACCACTGTAGTATTGATGAATCATGCTTCTCTATCTGGCAGTCTGATGGACGAGGCTGAGTTTGGCGAATGCCAGGAGAACGTTACCTGCCTGACTGCTTTGCGTCAGCTGTAAAGTTTGGTGGAGGAGGGATGATGCTATGGGGTTGTTTTTCAGGGGTTGGCCTAGACCCCTTAGTTCCAGTGAAGGGAAATCTTAATGCTTCAGCAGACCAAGAAATTTTGGACAATCATATGCTTCCAACTTTGTGTGAAAAACAGTTTGGGGTAGAACTTTTTCTGTTCCAGCATGACCAAAATCAGAAGAGTGGAAGCTGTTATAGCTGCAAAGGGAGACCAACTCCATATTAATGTCTAGGGATTTAGAATGGGATGTCATAAAAGCTCCTAGGTGTAATGTGTAGGTGCCCCAATACTTTTGTCTATATAGTGTCTATTCTCAGCCTTAAATTGTTTCCCATATTATTTTATTGCCTGGAAGGCCCAGCCAAAAAAAATGACTGAAGAAAACTATAATCGCTTATTCCCTTCTTGTCTTTTTGTGCAACTGAAAAACCGACTTGAGGTGAAGAGAGAAAAGGGTGAAAAACAGTGCAGAGGAACGTAGTGGAGAGAGAAATATGGCTTTGGCAGAAGGGAAAAAGATGGTAGAGAGAGAGAAAAAGAGGAAAGACAGACAGACAGACTCATATGCAAATGAAACATATTTCTATTCATTTTTTAAAGTATGTATCATGTTTGCAATATATTTCAATATGTATTTGACACAAATGTAAGAACTTAAATTTGACACAATTACATATATGGACAGCTATTAGAGCCCAGAGGGGGCCATATAAAAAATCTCAACAAATCTGTGGGCCAGAGAACGCCTATGTTTTCATTTTGCTATGACCCAAACTGGCCATTATTTATTCAAAATCATAATGACGCTTAATGTTGTATTCCTTCATTACGGCCACATTATCTCCACAATCAAGAGAGACGGGTTTATACTTATTGGAAGTAAAAAAGTATTCGAGCTCCCACTGGTCTTGAAAACCCCTGCATTCACTGTCCACTTTTCTTTTCGTCATTTTTCAGCTAGCCAGGTGTTTATATTGGTTGGCCTGCTGAAATGCAGCTAGTGTATTTGGTGATATGACTGGTGTGGTAGGACTGTGGTGTAACTGCTGTCCTATAGATTGTTGTTGGCAGAGGAGGGTGTGGAAGCGCACATTACATTGCAGTGTATGCTGGGGATTGCAGTGCAGATAACTGGAAAACGGGCTAGTATTAATAGAAAACTAAAATAATTTTGTGGGCTGAAATTTGACACATGGGATCTAGATGAACCCCAAATGTAGCCCTTCTTAAATCCAGGTTAAAACATTTCTCTTTTCATGTGTGTATGATTGAGCTCTAAGACCTGTGCTTTATTCTTAATACACTTTACCTTTAATTCCCTTTTTCTGTTTTTTCTCCCTTCTTACTGCACTTTATCCTTAATAAGCTAATAATACTTAAGTGCTTTGTTTTAAATTTCCTCTTATGTTTTAATTTTACTTAAGAAAAAGGAAAGACGAAGACAGTGCAGACATAGGGGAGCGATAGATAAGGGTGAGTGGAAAGGAAAAAGATGGTTGAGAGAAAAAGAAGAAAGCGACAGCCAGAGGGAGAGAAGAGAAAAGAGTGAGTGACAAAGAGAAAGAGGAAAGAGAGAGTGAGGAAAGAGACAGACAGAGGGAAAGCGCAAAGGGAGAGAGAAAGGAAAGACAGAGTGAGAGAGAGAAATACAGAGAGAGAGGGGAAAGAGACAGAAAGCGAGAGAAAACAGAGAGAGAGTGAGTTGTGCGCTCTCTCACCCTGATGCATGGTTTTCCGAGTCTGTCCACAGAGGCAAGTCGATGAGTCTGGTAGTGTTCAATGAGCTTCGGTAAAGTGGGGAAACTCCATGTTTGTTCCACGTAGAATCCACTCTCCGTCTGGTAAATCTTAAAGTGCTTCACTCTGTTCTTCACCTTAACTGATACAGCAGAAACAGTGTGGGGAGAAAAAGTCAGGACAAGTATCAGCCAACAAGACAAACACCAATAGTTAAGACAAACACTAACAACAATGTGGCGATGTCTTATTTCTAACTGAGCTGTTACTGCAGTAAAGGTGGACCAATTCTCTGTCTAAATACCCTTTATTTCAAAGAAACGTTGGACAAACAGGTGCCTGGATATTTTTACACAGAAGACGTCTCATAGTCAAGGATGCAGGTTGCCTGCTGTTGTCAGTGGAAGCCCATTTTGTAGGATGCTGCGAATGTGGCTAATAAAGGCAACCTTCATTTCTGAATTTAAAAGACTCAGCATTCCTTCCCCACCTTCACCTACACCTACAGTCCCTCACGCACAGCACAGGTTTTGAAAACCATTTGAAAAATGGCAGAAACAGCTGTGAGTGGGCGAGCATGAGAGTTTTAAATGAATGTCTGCTGCACACAGTTATTGTCAAGAAGATCATGCTGATAGTCTATGGTAGTTTTTCAGGAATAAGACAAAATATGTCAAGAAATATGTCGCCACAGTGTTATTCACACTGCTCATGTCAGTAAGCCATGACATGTCGGTATGGCTGACTAAGGACTTCTCTGTTGTGCGTGATGAGCCCCAAACTGGAGCCTTCATATATCAGGACTAGCCAGCAGTAATGTATCTGGTACCAGCCTGAGCACTGCAGAAATAATACTTATTCTTTGGTGGTTTCACTAATTGCCTCTTGTAACTTTGTAGATGAAATCTCATCATGAACAACATCAACTAATAAGCTAGAGGTGAATTAACAGCAGATCATACAGTGCGGCCTTCTTATCCACTCTTATTTCAATAAGGATCTACAGTCATGTGGAATTTTAAATCTGATAATAATAATGATAGTGTAATAATTTTCATTTATATAGCACGTTTTATGCCAGTGGCAGCTCAAAGTGCTTCTCAGACAGGTGATAAAGCATTACAGTAATACAAGAAATTATATGTATTAATTTAGAATCATGTAAAAAAAATGACACAGATCGAATTAGAAGATAAACACCATGAGACGTAGAGTTTTAATTAAATGCTGAGTTAGAGAGACGTTTTTAGAAGCTTCTTAAAAGTGAGCTCTGAGCTTGACTGTCTAATATAAGGTGAATGGAGTTCAGTTTAGAAGCAGAATAACTGAAAGGGTCTCTCCACGTTTTCTGTATTTTACAGTTTTTGCAGAAAGTCAGTATCTGCAGATCTAAGGTCACATGCTGGAACATAACCAGACAGACACTCTGTGATGTAAGCGGTGCTTTAAGGTCATTTAGAGCCTTAAAAACTAGTGGCAGAACTTTAAAATCTATCCTGAATGATACAAGCAGCCAGTCTTTTAAAATGGGAGTGATCTGATCTCTCTGTGTTGTTTTTGTTAGGATCCGTGCTGCTGCATTTTGTATGAGCTGTAAGGGATGTATAGTTTTCTTAGGAAGTCCAGTAAGAAGATCATTACAGTGATCAACTCTGTTTGTAACAAATGCATGAACATGTTTCTCTGCGTCGCTCTGAGATATAAAAGGCCGAACTTTAGTGATATTTCTCAAATGATAGAAAGCTACTTTAGTGACTGTGTTTACATGCGGGATAAACAGAGCTCAGAGTCTAAGATCACACCCAGGTCTCCTACTTTAGGTTTGGTATCTGAAGCTAAAGAAACAAGTTTAGCATAAAGCAGCTTTCTCTGAGTATTTATGTTTTTTTGGTTAGTCTGTCTACAGAGTCTTGATCGTCAGAAGGAATAGAAATGTGTTAGACTAACACGCCCTCAATTAAAACAAAACCAGAGGTTCCACCATCCTTCCTGTGTTGTCTGTTCTCATTTTTAAACAAAACCAGCCTTGAAACACACAAACACACACACACACACACACACACACACACACTCAGACACACCTGAGAGCACATGCCTGACGTTGTCACTCTCACTGATTCGTATCAGGAAAGCTCCATCGTTGTTCTCCGCTGACATGAGATGGCTGAGAGATTCAAACCTGTTCATCTTGCCGAAGAACCATCTGAAAAGAATCAGCAGACATCTTTAAAAACTAAATTCAAGACAAGCATTCAGCGAAGTCATTCAGGTTTAGAGGCCAAACAGACGTCATGATTTCACCTCCCAGAACCTCTGAATGAAAAGTTTCCAAGTGATACTAAAATGAGTTTCCATTCAAGATGAAGCTGACAAACTCTGAAGTGGATCTCGTCCAGAGCTTCTAGAGCTGGTGTTTGTGTTTATTTACCAGTGTGCTCTTACCAATAAAACTGACAGACAACAGCCGCACCACTAACTCACACTGCAGGCTTATAAACTGATATTAGAAGCTGATTGATATTATACATCTATGACCAATTTTGGCATGTCTTTAATAGACACTTTGGGAGATTTTGTGATGATTATGAACTTTAAGGGATTTATATTGCTATGATAAATCAACAGGAAGCAATGCATATAGATGTGAACACTCTATCGGTATACCTTGTATCCATGTTTTAAAAAAAAAAACGTTATACAGTTTAAAAGGCAGACAGTCTGTCAGTCTTGGCTATATTAACAATTTTAAATACTTAATGAAAGACATCTTTATAATAAGATTCAGAAGCAGGTTTAAATGCTGGTGTGGAGAGAAACAAAGCAAAAGCATTTACCATTTTTTGAGTATTTGCATCGGATTACTTTTATTCCATACTGTTAGGCCAAATAGCCCTGTGATGGACTGGCGACCTGTCCAGGGTGTATCCTGCCTTCTGCCCAATGACAGCTGGGATAGGCTTCAGCACCCCACCGCGGCCCAGAAGGATAAGCGGTTTAGATGATGTATGTATGTTAGGCCAAATAAGGTCACATAAAAAAATCTGAGGTAACCTGTAACCTGGTGAACAAACCCAAATGACCTAAGATACTGAACAGCGCATGTTAGAATAACTTAAATGTTTTGTGTTGGATTAACACAAGTGCATGTTTCTGCAACTCATAAATTCTTATTGGTTTAATTTAACTTTGGAGTTAATCAAACCTAAAATCCCAATTTATAGATTTATAGCTAAATTAATCGCTAATTATGTCACTTTTTCTGATGAAGTAATACTGACCAGTTTTCAAACACTCGATTAACCCTTAGTGTGAATGTGGTCACCCTTCAGCACAGACTCAAACTCAGCAGAGAAAACAATGACTCGCCCTTTTAGCCAGCAACACGAGGCCAGGCGGCTAAGGGAAATAGATGTGAAGGGATGGTAGCCTGAGTGGAATATAAAACACATTGATGGTGAGTAAAACACGGGGAAAGAAACACCCAGTTTGCAAACAGATGGATCCGTGAGCTCATGGGAAAGAAGTGTTTTACCCAATAAGATTGTATTAACAAAAAATCATCACTGTATTACATTGAAACAACACAGCTTACTTAGTTTAACTTAGTTACACACGTCTGTTAAGTAACATTAATGAGGGAGATACAAAACCTACGATGCAGTTTCAGTTTTTGAATGTGGCAGTTTCAAAGCTGCCTAAGTGACTAAGTGTGCGTTGATTCAACTCAGAAATGCCTTTTGAGTGTACGAAATCTTTAAAAAAAGTTCTCGTAACTTAAAACAGTTGAGTAATATGTGGGCTATATGAAGTTTTCTGTATAACAGACTGTTGTTATTTGAGTTAAAATGTGGGATCGCCTTTAAATGTGCTGACTTCATTGTGTTTCACATCACCATGCACACTATCCCTTCGAACACACTGTACTATAATGTTCTCTTAGCAGTTCTACATAGTACCAAATATGTTGTGTGACACTTTTTGATGTTATATAGACCCATTTTAAAAGCTTCTTTAAAGAACCATGTACAACAGGGTTAATTTAACCTCTTAAATTTTAAATTGACCTAAGGATTGATTGACTGTATATTAGACAATTTCATATTTTTAAAATAAATAGCATTCACCACACTTCAAATGAGGCAATGCATGTAGTAAAAACAGGAACAGTCAGGGATAACACAAAAAATTCCATGGTGGTCACTTAAGCAAACAAATCCAACAGTAGGCAGCAGATGTAAACATGGCACCAAAATACAAAATCACTATCCATATCACTACAATCAATTAAAATTAACAATAAAAGCACTCAACATCTTTAAACCCATATGTTCTTCTCTTACTTGACCATTTCCTAATGTTATGTCTAAACCCTCGCAGGCTGTAAACCATTTTAAAACTTCCTGGTAATCGGTTCCACGAAGTTGCTGCTACACACATGAAAGTGTCTCTACTCACTTTACTTTTAAAACAAGGAGGAACCAAATCTGTGGACCTTATTCTGGTAGAACATATGTGAAAATCATTTTTGAGATACAGAGGAACAGCTCCATGTACAATCTTATATACATTACACAATCAGGGCGACTCCACCGTGAACTTTTAACCAACCAAGGCTTTCATACTGAGACAATTCCAGATGAGTTCTAATAGGACGGTTTAAAATAACTAATGTGTTCTGAGAAGTTTGAAGCCTGTGTGCTCGGAAATACCATCATACCACGAACAGCAAGCATAATCAAAATAAGACTGCACCAAAACTTCCGCCAGGGTAACCACTGTTTGTCTATACAAAATTCTGGCGATGATTAACTTTAGTTAAAACCTTATCTGCCTGGCTCTCTCCTGACATGTAACTATCCAAGAGCCTAGATAATTAACTGAATTCTTCTATTACAGTTTCTCCAACAACTACCTTGAAACCCAATTATTTTTGTAATTTTGTCCATATACCAAACAAAATAGATTGTTTTCCCAAACTAAGTGACAACCTGTTCTCAGACATCCACCTACTAACTGTCAAAAGTTCTTCATTCAGTGTACATTCTACAATACACCTGACTTTAGGGGAAAACAAAATTGCAGAATCACCTGCATACAAAAAAGCTCACATTAACATACAGATTTAAATTATTCGTATATAAAAGGAAAAACAGTGGCCCTAAAACGCTTCCTTGGAGAACCCCACAGATAATAGATCTAGGTAGACACATCCACCTGTAGTTTACATCTTTTCAAATAGGAAGCAACCCGTTTGACAGCATTATCATTAAAACCTTTAGCTTTGAACTTAGTCAACAAAATATTGTGGTCAGTATTATCAGAAGGTTTCTGCAGATCCAGCATTACCAAACCACACAAACCCCCTTTATCTATTTCACTCTCAATAAAATCAGTTAAATAAAATGAACATGTTTCAGAAGAGTGAGATTTTCTAAATACCAGAATGGAATTCATAAATAAGGTTTTCCATTATCTCTGATAAGGTCCTCAAAAGAGATACAGGCCTATAGTTTCCTTTATTCAAGTTACAGAAAGAGGAATCACTCTTGCCCCTTTAAACTGATTGGAAAATTAACCGTGCTGAATTGACACACTTATTATATGCATAATGCACGAGGAAATGACCTCTGCAGCATCTCTTAAAAATCTAGCAGGAATATTATCATGACCAGATGCTTTAAAACAATTGATGGTCTTGAGCTTCTCCAGCACCACTTCCTCAGACACCAGCCTAAAAGAGAAGCTATGTGCTGTTACACTATATTGTTTACAATGGTCATTTCTCTCCCCGTACCAGGGGGTCTGACCAGGCAGCTTCTCCACCAGCCTACCTGCAACTGATGTAAAAAAAAATGATTTACCGTCTCTGCCACCTCTTTCTTATGTGAGGTTACCTTATTTTCAGACTGTAAACTAACATCACTGCTTAGTAATATTAGTTCTGAGCCTCTTACTATAACCAAGTTGTTTAAGGTTGTCTGTCATTCCTATCTTTTCTTTAAAATAAGCCTGTTTATTTCGATCAATCTCCTCCTCTTAATTCCTTCCGAAATTTCACTCTTCATCCAAGGTTCGGTTCTTTGCTTTATTCTCACATTTCTTAATGGAGCAAGTTTACTTATCACTTCTAAGAACATCGCTGCTTTTAATGTAAGTCTATGGAACCAGACTTTTTTCCAAGTCATTTTGGGCCGTTTCTTTAGGCGCACTGATCATGAAATTAACACACAATGTAAAGGGCAACAGGTATTTTCAAATTATGTCAAAAACTGAAAAATGACACAAACGGAGATACAAGGTTTTGTTCCGACAGCAGCAACAATATATTAAAAGCGGACAAGGCTTTGTCCACCTCTATACAATACCTGTGACCATTTTACTCAGACATTCCTCTGATGCTTCCTTACTATACCTTTTTAAGGACCTTATAGTGTTTTTTGAATTGAGCACATTTTTCTTAATATTTTTTGCACAAAAAACGACACAATGACTACTTACTCCACAATGCATAACACCACTCTTTACTGTCCTAGACTTCTATGACACTAAAATAAGTGTAGTTACAGTCTGCTTAGAGAAACAAATTTGTGTTGGTTCATTAATCAGTTGATGAAGATCAAACCACAGAAATTCATCAAAGATTTGTGTCCATTAAGTTCAACTTTCTGAACATCAGTGTTAAAATCCCCTACAATAATCACTTTCATTTCAACGAAATCTCCACACCTCACACATACGTCCTCCAATAAGTCATCAAAATGGCTTTGGTCTGGACGTCTGCAGGATGTTCCAACAAAATATCTAACCATACAGCTTCAGTTTGATCATGATTTAAATCCTCCCTTTCGTTAAAGCCCAAAACTGCTCTTATATAAACACTCCTCTGCCTTATGGTTTCGGCCTCTCTGCACAATAACATAGTTCTCAGTCTCTATTTCAGTGTCTTTGATAGAGTCGTCCAGCCAAGGTTCTGCGATACACAGAAGAGCTAATCTTCGGGCGAGGGCTTCTGGTGTTCAGATGAAGAAAAGTCCCCTCGTGTTCAGAAGTGAATTCACACTACACTCTTAAACAAGATGGTTCTTCAAGGGTTCTTTAGTAAAGAAAGTATTTTTCTATATAGAACCATGAACACTCAAAGAACCCTTTGCATTATCACAGGGTTCTTTATATCATGAAAGGGTTCTTTAGATTGAGAATGTGCTGTGATTCCATACAGAACCTTTTCGAAAAGGTTTCCATATAGCACCAAAAAGGGGTCCACTACTGTTACAAGCCAAAGAACCCTTTTTCGGTACTATGTAGAGCCCTTTTTGCTAAGAGTGTATGTTCTCCTTGACGCTTAAGCTGCTCCAACACCTGTTGTAGTTCCCGGCTTCTCAGCCGAGCAAGTACTCAGCCTGCACACACACCTCAGCCTTATCCCTCGCCTTCAGTCCACACCGAGATAACACTCCTAGCCTGGGGCATTGATTTATATCCCCCAGTATCAATAAACATATTGCTATAATAAGGTAGTTCATTCAGTTGCTTTGATGTTTAGAGCCACACTTAATCTGTCACTAGGCTGGATACAAAAATGTTTCAAGATGAACTCTGTCCACGGCCAAAATGCCAATTTACTGCAGCACTGTAAATCTGCTGGTCAGACACATAATGAAAGTTTTGCAATCGCTGAACAAACTTGTTTTGCGACTTTCTAAAACCAGAGTTGACAAAATTTAGGAAAAAGCCATAAACTAAGTTCCATCAGCACTCCAGATGACAGCACTTGCCAGCAGCCATCTTACTTGGGAATTATGGCAAACAACATTCAAATGCTTCGTTGAGGGTTTACAGCTCTATATATATCTATATAACTAGAGGTGGGCGATATGGCAAAAATATATCACGATACTTTAAGTAATTTTCATGATATTCGTTTTTTTCAAATATCTGATCAGTTGGAACAAAGAAAAAAGAAGCAGTGCTGCTGCATTTTAAATAATACAATCAAAAACTATGAATACAATTATTTTTATTCAATATTTGCCGTGCTGTGTTGCCTTAATCCAGTTAAACGGGATTAATTTTGCCCTATAACAAAACATGCAGCTGGTCAGTGTTCTGCAAGTACTGACGATATACTCAATATGTGCAGAAAAGCATATTTTATTGTATTGTGACAGAATCTTTTACAATAATGATACATATTGTTATAGTGCCTATCACCATATATAACCATTGCCTTTACTATACAACAAAAGCATTGTTTTTTGTGACAAACATTTAAAATGGGTTGTTTTTTTTTAATATCCATACATGGACTGTATGGACGGGAGAGTGAATGATACATTTTGACACTTCAAAAAATAAAGGGAGGATAATTAGAAATGGAATTGCTTTTTAATTTCCATTATTTTCTGTTTTGTTAGATAATAACACAACATTTGCATCTGAACAAGTACGTTTGTGAGGAAAGGATTCTATTTTTTACTCAGTTCCATTTTAGTCGTTCCTATCAAGCCCGCTTCATTTTCTGTGTTTACTTTCATTCTGTTCTTCTGGTATTATAGATCAAAAGTAGCACAAACACACTCTCAGAAAAACTGTCACTGGGGTGGGACCCTCAAGGGTGCGTCCTTAGTTCTTTTAATTAGGGAACGTAACCATTGCAAATATATTTTTAAAGTTGCATTGACTCCACACAGCCCGTCTCGTCTCCAGTCTTTATATTTTTCTGTTCTGTTTTAAACATCAGTTGATAAAAAGGTACAAATACGTCCTTCTGTTGAGAAAAACATATTTAAGGTGCACAATTAGACCTTAAAACCACTGTTGTACCTGTGAGGGTCCATTTACATTGTTTGTACCTTGATGAATGAAAAATGCACCTGCACAGAACCTTTATTTCTAACAGTCTAGAGCAGCTTCATATAGCGTGTGTGTTCATAGTTCTATATATAACCATTGCCTTTACTAAAAAAAACCTCAAAGAATCATTTTTTCAAGGGTATACTTTAATATACCTTAGAACACACTGTACCATATTACTGCATAGCACACTCTCCCACAAACATACTGTCCTGTATATGACACATTATCCTATAATACTAATAATCAAGACTCTTCTCTGTCCTGGCACCCAGGTGGTGGGATGAACTTCCACAGACTCTCTCGTGGTCTTCAAACGCAGACTGAAGACACATCTCTCTTTACAGCACTTAATTGAGCACTAATTGCAGTAATTATATGCAGTAATTTTTCTCTAGGTATCAACATAGGCTCTTGTTTTTAACAGTATCTGAGCTCAGGGGTAGTTTGTGCTCTAAACTATTTGTACTAGCTAGGATACTTTCTCTGAGTAGACAACAAAGCACTTCCGTAAGTTGCTCTGGAGAACAGTGTCTGCTAAATGCTGTAAATGTAATGTGATGTAAGGTAATATCAGCTTGTAAGTGTGCAGTGTCTGTAACTCAGAGGAGTAGATTTTGTCCATCAGTTTTACTGGTAAGAGACCACTGGTAAACAATATAAACAAAAATATAATTTGGAAACTTTCCATAAAACCTGCTTGTTTCTATTTGGTGTACATTTCCACCACTGCGTAGCGAAAATCACCACGCTTCACGTTCCGTCCTCAGGCTACCAGAGTGTCAGAATACATGCAGTGGGAATGCATATTCAATTTCATACAAAAATGAAGTGTATTCAGTCCAAGTTACATTTTGAAAAGGCAGTATTCAGAATACAGTTATTTTATATATAGTTTTTATTATATATATATTTTATATATTCATCTTCAAAAGAAACACCATCAATGGTTGTTTAACTATTAAATATTACCTATGGCATGTAGCAAACGTGTTAAAGGCTTATTAGATGGACTCTAAAGAGGACCTAAATTAACGGCTTATTTATAAACACCAAAGTTCCTCCTAAAGCCTGAGTAGACTGATAAATCAGTGTGATGATCAGTTATTAATCTCAGTGTTACAGAGCTCTGATAAAGCCTGAGTAGACTGATCAATCAATGTGATCAGTTATTAATCTCAGTGTTACTAAGCTCTGATAAAGCCTGAGTAGACTGATCAATCAATGTGATCAGTTATTAATCTCAGTGTTACTAAGCTCTGATAAAGTCTGAGTAGACTGATCAATCAATGTGATGATCAGTTATTAATCTCAGTGTTACTGAGCTCTGCTAAAGCCTGAGTAGACTGATAAATCAATGTGATCAGTTATTAATCTCAGTGTTACTGAGCTCTGCTAAAGCCTGAGTAGACTGATAAATCAATGTGATCAGTTATTAATCTCAGTGTTACTAAGCTCTGCTAAAGCCTGAGTAGACTGATAAATCAATCTGATCAGTTATTAATCTCAGTGTTACTGAGCTCTGCTAAAGCCTGAGTAGACTGATCAATCAATCTGATCAGTTATTAATCTCAGTGTTACTGAGCTCTGCTAAAGCCTGAGTAGACTGATCAATCAATCTGATCAGTTATTAATCTCAGTGTTACTGAGCTCTGCTAAAGTCTGAGTAGACTGATAAATCAATCTGATCAGTTATTAATCTCAGTGTTACTAAACTCTGCTAAAGCCTGAGTAGGATGTTACTTTTTATGTTTTATAGTGAAATATATTTAGATTCAGTATTTAGCCATCGCTACTTTTTAGAGTATTTTGCCCAGCCCTGCTGACCACTTACACTCGCTCGTTTGGGCAACACCAACTTCCTTTTTTTTCGACCAGTTTTTCAATTTTAGGCAACTAAAAGAAGAGCTCTGTACTCACGGCTGCGCGTCCACCGCCTCTCCTCCTTGCTCCAGGTAGTTAAAAGGGACGATGCCGGTGGCCAGCACTTTTCCAAAGCGGTCAATCTTATTGGCCGTCCACCAGTCTCCACTGCGCCTGACTATCCTGAACCTGTCTCCAGACTGGAAGGAAAGCTCCTCTTCGGCCCGAGCTTCAAAGCCCCACAGCGCCGTGTACACATCACCATTACCCGCGTAATTAGGAGTGAGAACATCGCGCTCCATGTCCTCCCTCTCCGGCTTGGAGTGCTCAGACGCTCCGCTGTATTCGTTTTTCCCACCGGGCTCCACGTCCCTCCGCTTGTCGAAGCACCTGTCCAACAGCTCGGAGAGCCAAGAGCACGGGCAGCACTCCCCCATGTGGTCGAGGTGCAGCCCGAGGCTGGGCAGGTTCTTCTCCCACGGGAATGCAAGGAACGCGTCTGACAGCGAGGAGCGAGCAGAGCGACTGTGACGGGAAAAGACACAAACTTCCTCCTTTCTACCCCGCCTTTCTGCACAGCTCTCACACCGAGAAGAGGGAAGGAACCAGCTCCGTTTAGCCGACTCAGCCACATCTGCTCACTTACACTCTTAGAAAGCTGGTTACTGAGCTCAAAGGTTCTTTAGTAAAGGCAATGGTTCTATATAGAACCATTAACACTCAAAGGACCACTGGCATGGTTAAACAGTTCTTTGCATGGTGAAATGGTTCTTCAGACTGATGGAAAATGAAGAATGTGTTGTTTATGGTTTTATATGTAACCTTTATAAAAAAAAAAAAAGATTCTATTTTTGGTGTTACATAGAACCCTTTTAAAAAGGTTCTATATAGAACCATATACAAAAGATTCTCCATCAATCTGAAGAACGCTTTAATCATGCAAAGGGTTCTTTGAGTGTTTATGGCTCTATATAGAACCATTTTCTCTACTAAAGAACCTTTGAAGAACCATCTTTTTTCAGAGTGTAACAATAGAAGCAGCCTTTTTGGTGCTATATAGAACCCTTTTCAAAAAGGTTCTATATAAAACCATATACAAAAGATTCTCCATCAATCTGAAGAACTCTTTCATGATGCAAATAACCCTTTTCTTCTTTTCTTTTGAGTGTTCATTGTTCTATGTAAAATCATTTTCTTTACTACAGAACCCTTGAGGAACCATCTTTTATAAGAGTCACTATAGAAGAACGCTTTTGGTGCTATATAGAACCCTTTAAAAAAAAGGTTCAGTATAGAACCCTATACAACAGATTCCTCAACAATCTGAAGAACCCTTCATGATGCAAAGAACCCATCAATCATGCAAAGGGCTCTTTGAGTGTTAATGGTTCTATATATAACCATCGTCTTTAACAAAGAAACCTTGAAGAACCATCTTTTTTAAGAGTGTAACAATAGAAGAAGTCTTGTTAGTGCTATATAGAACCCTTTTAAAAAAGGTTCAGTATAGAACCCTATACAACAGATTCCTCATCAATCTGAAGAACCCTCTATGATGCAAAGAAAGGGTTCTTTGAGTGTTCATGAATCTATATAGAACCATTTTCTTTACTAAAGAACCCTTGAAGAACAATCTTTTTTAGGAGTGTCACAATAGAAGAACCCTTTTTGTTGCTATGTAGGACCATTTTCTATGTAGAAGTTCTGTATAGAACCAAATACAACACTCCATCAATCCGAAGAGTGATTTCACCATGCAAAGAACCATTTTATCATGCAAATGGTTCTTTGAGTGCTCATGGCTGTCTTTATTTAAGAACCTTTGAAGAACCATCTTTTTTGAGTGTTTGTCTAATGATATATTAACTTCATTATTCTTTTACTTTCACTTTGCTCAGTTTAGTGGCTCAGTTAGTTTCCAGTTCCTTCCTTGTGTTAAAAAGTCAATATCACTTTTTTTTAATTGTATTTTACTTAGACCAAGTTTTGGTAGCTGCTTTTACTACTACATGAGTCAACTGGACACTGAAGCAACAACAGCTTTACTTGAGTGTGGTTTTGGGATGGTTTACCGATGTCTGAGCAAAACTGCTGACCACACTAGTGGCACCGAAGCTGGTAAATAGCACAGGGCCTCCATTCAAGGTATGACCAATTAAAATAAACAGAGCACTTAAATACATTAATGTATGAACCTGCAGCTTTCTTATACATGACACAAACACATATTTTCAAAAAATATTTTATTTTTAAAATATCTGTCGAGTTCATGGCGCATAATGCATTCATTCCCCTCCTGTAACCAATAGGAAGACAATGATCACAGACATGATTTCCGTGAAACAAGAAAATCATGAGGCATCCAACTGAAGCACAGGAGAATTTTTTTAACTCTTATGGCTCTTGCTTTTCAAACTTCACCACGGTATAAGTGCTTAGAGTGCATATCTGAAACATTTGCAAGCAAGTCTGCAGCAGCAGCAGCAGACACTCAACACAGATCCAAAATTCATCTCCAGAAATGCTCCATTCATTGTAACAGTCTTAGATTTGCCTTTGCTGGCTCCTTCGTTGGCAGGTGAATCACTGGTAAAACACTCACCTGAAAGCAGGTACTAGATCCTCCTGCTTATACTGAAACTGGTCATGATGTCCATGTCTCTATGTGGCCAACATGGGCTGAACACTGTTAAAGAACGCAATATAAAAATCCACAGTGCTGTCACCAACAACTGAGCAGGGCGCTGCTGTTGCTCAGGGAGGAGAATGTGGCGCTGTATAACGAAGCTCTTGTTTCTGCTTTTCTGTGCCACTTCTTCTCTTTAACAGGAAGAGTCATTATTGCACATCATGTAATACAGTACAATTTACAAAAACATCATGTGCAAATACAGAGGGATAAAAACAGGTTTGGCTAGAAGAGTCCACAAAATTGACATCTCAGTTACGTTTAGTAACTTCAGTACCTTTAGCACTTCTGAAGTCTGTTGCACCTTCTGTTGTGCGTTCCTCCATTTCCAATCACTCCTGCTGACTTGGAGGACTTGTATGGCTCTGGTTCTACACCTCAATGGTCTTGTAGTAGATCCTGGAGTAGATTTTATCTAGCTGGCTGTGCAGGGCATGGAAGGAGGGCCGTTTGGAGCTCTCTGGAGCCCAGCACTCCAGCATCATGCGGTAAATGTTGGGAGGACAGCGGCTCGGACTTGGCAACCTGTACCCTGATGCTAAAATCTCCAACACCTCCTTGTTGGTCTTTCCTGATAAAGTGGAACAATGAGAATGGAGTGTGAGGACAGGCATAAGTCGGCATACAAGAAAGAGAGAGAAAGGCGTAGTGTTTCTGAGATCATTAGCTTTTTTTTTTAGATTTTTTTGGACAACGGAAATATTGGGGATCACATACTGAACAATTAGGGATCACACACTACTCAACTTTTCAGCTGCTGAACTCACTGAACTTGTGCGAACTCACGCAAACTCTCACAAACTCTCGCGTTCTTCCATTACCAGGAGACCCAAATAAACAAAAGTGGAGCTGCTGCTGCTGTTTTTTCTCTGCCATTTGCGTCGACACAGTAAAAAGCAGGTAACCATGTTTAAATGAGGCTCATTGATTTAAAAATGTGATCAGTGTGCTACTTTTAGAGTTTTAAATGTACATCTCGATTGTGCTCGTGTCTTAAACTCAGCTCATTAAAAAGCTTCGCTCCACATGTGAGACTTTTTTTTTTCTGTCTATATTTGCTGTATTTTCTCCTTTCACACTCTCTGTTTTCATTGGCTGTTGCAGGAATCCGTTCAGATTGAGTCATTGGGTCTGAAACGCGATCAGGAGGCCAAAAATCTGAGTCTGTGCACCTCAAACACAACTGGATTCTCTCTCCAACTGTCGACTCCGACTGACCCAACATCTGCAAACTATCACAGACTTGGCCAGACTGAAAATCGGGGCTAAAATCGAGGTAAAAGTCGTGTGATGTAACCCCGGCTTTAACATGTTCTGATCTTGCGTTAGACCAAGCTCAGAACATGTGTAATGAACAGAGCATGAACTAAACATCACGATACATAAAATGAAGCAAGTCAGACTCATACCTTCATAGGGCATCTTCCCCCGTGACATCATCTCGTAAAGCAGCACTCCAAAGGACCAGACGTCAGATTTAACAGAGAAGCGCTGGTGTAGAGCTGCCTCTGGAGCTGTCCATCGCACTGGGATCTTAGTGTTCTTACTGGCCGTGTACACGCTGTCCTACAAACATGCATACAGAATCATGTTTATATATTTATACCTACACAGAAATATATATTTCATTCATTTCTGGTTTCACATGGTGTATAAACACTGTTAAAAGTTTCAAAATGTACCAGTCTTATGTCCATACAGTCCACACATAAAAGCTAAGCTGCAAAAATAGCCTGTTTGGGATGTCATGAAAACCAAGCCATTTAAATATATCTGCTTGTTTAGCAGTTTAGCCCCGCCTATTCGTGCTAAGGTTATAAGGAGTTTTTCAGCCAGTACCACTTTTAAATGAGCCACAATACAGGGCAGCCAATCAGAACAGAGCTGATTTACATATACCAGTCTTAAAGGCAAGTTAACAAGGACATCCTGTTTGATTTCTAGGGATACAAAGACGATGGGAGATGGCTGTGTAAAAATTAAATACTACTGTTTTTGGACCACAAAACCACAAAAGTGTTCAGCCAGTGTTTAAGGGCTGATGTGAGAATAATAGATGAATACAAAAAAAAAAACAATTAGTGTGGGTAGGGCTTCTGTACCCATCTCATTGCTTTGTGACTGTCAAGTACGAACATAAGGGATAGTACTGTGTAAAAGTCAAAGACCTCCTTTTATTTATTTAATTTCCAGGGGTGACAAGGCTGGGATGGTGAGTTCACTCATACTCTTTACCTTTATGATGCGAGCCAGGCCAAAATCAGCCACTTTACACTCCAGTTCACTTCCCACCAGGATGTTTCGAGCAGCCAGGTCTCGATGTACAATGTGTCGGTCTTCCAGGTAGGCCATGCCCTCTGCTACCTGACAGGCCATGTAGATGAGATGAGCTGAGGTCAAAACCTGACCCTCTGGAGCTACAGAACAGAGAGAGATAGAGAGAGAAAATTTATACTGCTGAAGGAATATGTAGTTACGGGTTTGAGGCCCGAAACATACTTCAAATGCTAAGTTCATGTTTGTTAATGTAAAAAATAATGTAATAAAAATATAACACAATAAATAAGTGCTTTTTGAGCTAGACTTAGAATTACAGACTTAAAATAATAGTTTTTATAAAAATACTGTTTATAGAGCACTTTTGACATATGGTATGCACTTAAAGTGGGATTAAAAAAAACTGTAAAAATAAGCCATTCTGATCATTTTAAGTGTTAACTGACATACTAAAGTTATAAAAGGATGACAACAACAACAACAACAACATAATAATAATAATAATAATAATAATAATAAGGTACCACTTTCCAATAAAACTACTCTTATGAAAACTTTATGAATAAGTTAATACTAGTTTATGAATGGTTA